CAGGTAGAATGGTCTGGAAGTTGAGTCATGGCAACTGGACTTCTTTCTTTTTGGTTCAAAACATTTTGCTGCTTATTCAAGGCTGAAGAAGCAGTGAAGTCCAATTGTCATAACTCAACTTCCAGACAACTCTACTTCTTGTATGTGTTTGTATATCCCAGCTGGGACATGATATGGAAAAGGCAAACATCCTCTACCTCAAGTGTGGAAAAAATATTTATAATTAGTCAAAAGCAATTTTCAGTGAATAAATTACTGCTTTTATAGTTCATTTTTATAGAGAATAATTTCTGCCACTCTAGTTAAACAAAATATTCTGACTTACATATTTCTGTATTCCTTCAAGACTAAAAAAACTTTGATAGCATTTTCCTTAGCTCCTTTCCAATAAGTTGCCACACTGACCAAACTGAAATTGACCTGAGCTTCTACATCCAGCATGCCTTTTATCAGCTGAACTTAATGCCAAAAGAGATTAGCAGAAAAGCCTGATAAGACTGTTTTCTTTTCAATGAGCTTTTAATGATGTATGCAGATGGCAAGGTTTACAGAACTAAAGAAGCACATACTGTACTGGGACTGGTAACACACAACAGATTCTCCTCTACTTTGAGCCTTGCCGACCTTTGCTTTTTCAACTTTCAATTCATAAGGCAATTCATAAGGTAAATTAAATTGTTTTTTCAGTTTTTATTTCACTTCCAACCACTTTCTATTATTTACATCTGGTGGTCCTCTTGTTTATGTCCCATTCCACTTCCTTGCAACTCTCTCTTACTCACAAAACTGCAATGCATTAGGGTTCTTCATTCTCAGTAGGAGAACACTACTCTGTCTTCAAACAAATAATTAAGAGGAAGGTTAAAGGAGGTCACACAGAGGTCATATCTTTAGAAACTGGTCAGAGTGTATACATTAATTTAAAAAGAAGGCAACCTCCCAAGCTTCTCCCCCCCCTTCAAAAAAAAGAGCATTTACACAATACAGAACACTCAGGCAATTCATAATCCTTTCACCAAAGAGATGCAGAACAGGCTTTTATGATCATTTACAATTAATAAGCCCATTCTCACTTTAATATTAGCAAATGGAACAGGTTATGGTGAAATGAAAATTAAGATAAAGCTTCTGGATCTAGTTAATGCATGTGTACCTAACACACATAAGATCTGTATATACCTTAGAATGTATCAAATGATTTGTCTGTAAGTTTAGAAGTCTAGCACAAG